GGTGAAAGTTAGATGCATGTACCTGATGTGAAGGACTATTTGTAGACGGAGCATTGAAAGAATCGATGATTGGTGCGTGTGTTTAAAACAGAATGATACAGTTTTTTGTGCATGACACATGGTAATTGTTGTGTTTTAACGCTTGAACACACCGGTGGCCTAAAGCAGTGAACTATTATATTTAAATCAACAGGACACTTTTTTACTGATTGGCCGTGTCGGGTGGTTGGAGTGTTACAGCACGTGAATAAAGAAGGCGATCTAAACAGAATTACGGTGTTTATGAATAATGTTAGCGAAAGCCTAAGTGTTAGCAATCTACTAACTTAATAAAAGAACCAGGCTACAGGCAACATTATAGACTGGCAGTACACCCACTGTGCTTCATAAGCAGGTTACAGTCAGCATTATAGACTGTTAGTACACTGAGGCAGCTTAATAAGCAGGCTACAGTCTACATTATATACTCGCAGTGCACTGACGCAATGTAATAATGAGGCAACAGTGCACGTTATATACTGGCAGTCCGCTCATCCAGCTTAATGACTATTTGCACAGTAAACTTTGAAATAATTTATTTTTTGAGCGTGGGGTTAAAAAGTAATTAGACAGTAGTTTTGTCATTGGTATGTAATGTTTAAAAGATTTTGTAAGATTTAAAATGTATTGTCCGGCCGGGCAACGCTGGGTATATGGACTTTATACGACAAAGTCGTCGCTTGACACGGGTGGGGTGTGGAGGCGTAGTACTGCGCAGAGCCTCCGGCGTCGGCAAAATAGCCTGGCAGGCATGCGGCTGTGTCGGGGTGGTCTGTCCACGTGGAGCTCTGTTGTATCCTAACCCTTCTTCCATAATTGAGATTAATAATATTTGATGATTTTTATATATTATCTTTTTACTTGTTTTTTTTAATGAGTGAAACACACCAAAGCGCACCAAACTGCAAAACACCAGGTGTTGTTAAGTAATGAACGAGAGGAGGGCTAGGATGACAGAATTGCAACCTTGCTTCAAGGCAAAGGCAGTGAAAGGAAGCAGAGGCGCCTTTGTCTAAGTCATAACCACAGAAAGCCAGGAATCATCACTGATTGTGTGTTAGGGATTCCGAGCTAATTAGAACACGTGCACACAGAAAGGGAGGTAGAAGCACGCCTTGTTCTCCTGCAGCTGAGGAAACAAAGATAAACCCAAAAGGCCTTGGACCTGAAATTAAGAATAACATTCCCAGAGCAGAAGGTTGGAGGGCCACAGGGAGCTGATTTAAAAGAGTGTTGTATATCTCTCAAGGCGGGCAAGACCCAGCTGAATAACAAGCCTGCGGGGGTCACCAGAAGTTCGCATTCGCCTAGTTAAGACAAAAAGCTCAATTATTCTGTATTGCTATTAAAGTAACGTTAAAGTCGGAATTTAACAACAGGGTAGGCTAAAGTTATTGATATTCACACCCACTCCAATTAAACCAGGCCACAAGTTACGCCTACTGAACCATCACCATCATTAAGTCAAATGAAATGTTATTTCCATACTTTAATACTTTCTATGCAACTCGACCCGAAGCATATGACAATCAGAACCTTCCTAAGTCAAAATTGAATCGCACCCAGACAGGAGCGAATATATCATATATAAGGTTGAAGAGGGAAGGAAATTAAGAGCACGGCAGCAGACAAAAACCAGAACTGACTCCAAGGTTCAACCGCCCTCACCTCAGGAGTGACGGAAATTAATGAGGCCTTGAACAACGGCCAGCTGGACGGCAACAACAACGGCGAGCAGAGAGAGGGTGGGGCAAAGACTGCGGGGCTATGGAATGCAACTTCGTGTCAGTAAGCTCTGACAAACAAGTTAAGTTAAAGACATCACAATACATAATATCGCACATAACATCAATGTTAACGCTATTCACCGTAAACTATATTCCGCTTATATAACCATGCAGGCACCAAGGAATACGAATTCCTAGGATCAAGAAACTTACCCCTTAACCTAAGATATCGGAAATAAATTAATAGTAATAAGTATATGCATGAAAAGACAAAGTAAAACTTATGGAAAAGCCAGGATAACGGGATGAATCACCACCAGGTCGAATATGAATACATAATAAAAAAAAACGATGTTAAACCCAGGGTCGGAGAGGAAGGGAGATCCCGGCCGTCTTTGTATCCCCGCAGCGCGGGATAGGAGTGTGTATACGCTCGGGGAAACACCTCCACTTGAGTCAAGCACCACGATGGGAAACGACAGACCTTAGGTTACATACAGAATCATAACTGTGAAATAGTAAGGGACAAATGTTAACTTAAAACTTTTAACCATTTCTTTGTGCGCCGGGTCGGAGAGAGCGTTGCCCCTCCCTCCAGGTGGTGCGAACAAAGACGCCTATGAGACATTTGTAACGTCTGTGTTTTGGGTTCATGAAGAAGGCCAGACCAGAGATAATATTGCACCCAGACAGAGAGACGACCTCGAGGCAATTGTAACATCTGATTGTTTGCTCGTGGGTTCATGGAGGGAGTGGGACAACGGAATACCGTGAGTAATGCACACAAGGACATACGGACGTACGGACACACACATGGACACACCTGCCTACGGACAGATCCTGACACAGCAAAAATCGGAAAGAAGCCCCGCCTTGTGGGCGGGATCCAGGGGGATTTTTCGGCATAAAGTAAAGGATCCTGAGCATTGGAAATCAGTGCGACGGGAGGGTCGACTCAGGAACGAGTGCGACCAGAGTGGGTCCACTCAGGAGTGCGACCAGCGGGTCCACTCAGGAGTGCGACCAGAGGGTCGACTCAGGAGCGAGGGCGACCAGCGGGTCGACCCAGGAGCGAGCTCGACCGGGAGGGTCGACTCAGGAGCGAGCTGCGACCAGCGGGTCGGCTCGACTCATCTTCAGCTCGTCAACCTCTGCCGAATCGGGGGTCTCTGCTGCCACCGGAGTGGTGAGCACCGCGGTTCGGCGACAACCCAGAGCTGCACGCTACGAGCGAGTTGTGGGCGCCACCTACCGACCGGGTTCCGAACTGCGACAGCGTATCAACAGCCATCCGAACCAGTTCGCCACGGTGACAGGGGATCGACTGATACGTATGACGCGCACCGCCCCCTCACCACACGACCACCAGGCGTCTGTTTGACCTAAAGAATCGACTCCGAACACTGACTATTCAAGACAACTCTTACCACTCAAAAACACTCGAACCCATAAGCCATCCGTGGCTGGAAAGCATCACAACGAGACCGAGTGATGGCCCTCCGTCGTTTATAAGAGTATTCTTAATTTTTATCTTTAATATTTAGTGGGCTGTACTCTTAATCGCATAAATTCCCAACAGATCCATCAATACGAACTGATTCTTGGCACCTCCTTCCGCCGAGCCACGCTCACGTGGGGAGTGGTGGCCCACCGGATCCTTATCAGGTGATCTGGTCCCCAATTAGTAAACTTGGTATAAGATAACGAGCTTCGGAAAAGGAGCACCGTCGCAGGCCCTTACTCCGAGCCGTTCTGTTGTCAGATAACCTGCCGATGTATCTGTTGAGATTGGTGCCTTTAAGAATAATAACTGTTTTTGATTGTGTTTTTTTTATCGCCGTATAATCTTTCAAGTATCTTTCAGTCATAATCGCCGCACGTACTCGCATCCTCTACAGAATATTCAACTGTCCCGTGACCCAAGGTGTTAACAACGTGATAAGGGTTGCGTATGGTCAATAAGGAGTGTGGTACTGCGTGAACAATATTGAGTATAATCATTCATTAGCGTTAAGGTTTTCTTAGCATAGTATTTGCATATTTCAACGACTCTCTCTCTCACTAACAACCATCGCGTTATGAACAATATTGAGTATAATCATTCATTAACATTAAGGTTTTCTTAGCATAGTATTTGCATATTTCAACGACTCTCTCTCTCACTAACAACCATCGCGTTATGAACAATATTGAGTATAATCATTCATTAACATTAAGGTTTTCTTAGCATAGTATTTGCATATTTCAACGACTCTCTCTCTCACTAACAACCATCGCGTTATGAACAATATTGAGTATAATCATTCATTAACATTAAGGTTTTCTTAGCATAGTATTTGCGTGTTTTAACGACTCTCTCTCTCACTAACAACCATCGCGTTATGCGGGATCCATGTGCAGTTGTCAAAGTGAAATCAGACAATCGTTGATGATACTGTATTGATGCCGTGTTGACGTTCCGGGATTGAGAGTTCGCATATTATATCATAGTTAAGGTTGAATTAGTAATACATTGATTAATACAGAAGTGGTTGTGTGATTCTTTCCTGAAATCTATGCATAAGATCTGCTTCTGCGTTGAGATTTGAACTTGGTGACCTTAATAAACACACTAATACATACTCAGTAAATGTTAAAGCGATAACGGGGTGAACCGGGGACCTAAAAATATAACCACGAATAAAACTCTGGGAATGTTAAAGCGAGAATGAGACGAACCTAGACAACGATGCCGAGTTAATCTAAGTTAATCTTGCATACTTACACCACACCTGCATAACTGCATACGATTAATTGCCTTATTCCGATCGATAACCCACCCTCGTCACCGAGGCGGGGTCTGGTTATCATAACGACTTGTATTATCATAATTACACCCACTCGCATAATTAATCCGATTACCTCTCGAATTGGCATAATTAAAATGTGCGTAATTACATAAATTAACATATTTCCGGATAATTACACATTTGGCCAGATTTCATTTAATAATTATTATTTTCACTGAATATTCATAACACACAGGTACAACATAATAATTTCACCCACGCACGCATACAACATAACAAATTTTCTTAACCCAACATATACAACAGCTCCCGCGCCCCCCTGTCAGACACCAACTTGGACTCGTCCATCGCTGGTCCCACCTCCCCCACGGAAAATCATCGAAGTCAACGTACAGTAGGACAGTCCACACAAGCGGCATCAGCAACAACAGCAGCAGCAGACGTCTCCGCGGCGTTGGTGCCAGGCTAGGTGCACTCTTAGGCCACGCGAAGTGTCGAAGGCTCGCTGACAGGAGGTCACGGGGCAGAACCCTGCAGGTGCCATGGGGTTGACCGACTCGAGATGGCTGCAGACGCCACCAGCTGTGCCAACTCGCCGCGTTTTAGCCGCCCGCCTCTCCGCTCGTTGTTGTGAGCGTCCCTCACGAGCCTCCTCCTCCACAGAGGCCGATCTTGACACCGCCGGTAGCGCTCATCGGCAAGTCCACTCAGCTCCACATCCTCCAACCAGGTACCTTTGTAGACCCGCAGTGATGCCCCATGCCGTGTTGGCAGTCCACTGCTGGATGAAGGCTTCGGGTCGCCACGGTGGCTAGGAGATGTTAACTACCTCGCCCGGTGTGCAGGAGGTCGTGGGTTCGACCCCGACGCCTGCTGCTGCTGCTGCTGCTCTAGATGTGGAGTCTGCGGTGTCTCTCTCCACGTGGTCGCGTGGATTTCTCTCCCGGTGCTGCGGTGTTCCCATCCACATTTAGAGTCGACGTGTTGAGAATATTTGGTGCTCTAAATGTCCACGCGAGAAGCCACTTTGTTGAGCTATCATCTGTGGCCAGGTCGCTTCTTATAAAAGCGCTATGAAGCTCAGTGGGACTTACGTGGTTAAAATAATGAAAAATATTTAAAATTACAGCACCACCACTCCACTCACACAGAACATCTGCCGTGATCCTGACTGCAGTGCTCATCTCGATATGGTCGATGAAAGTGAATTACGTGACGGCCGCTACGTTAAAAGGTTTCGTCACCTTTGGGTGGCATCAGTTGCTGCTCTGGCCCATCGGGAAATGCAACAATGCCTTGATGGAGGCTCCATTGAAGATGCGTGCGACCCTCTCAAGTGGCCGTCTGACCCGAATGTTCGGTCCAACCCGAGCTGAATATCGAGTGGAACTGTGTGACTGGGGCTATTTGCTAAAACGCAACAATTTCGGTTTAAAGCATTTGTGACTGCAGGGATTCATATTATTGGTTCTTTCGGAAAAGTCACGTAGATTTTAGAGCCTAGTCCCCATTGGTGTTGGACCAGATGACACCAGAAGGCGTACAACTCAAACACAGTGCAATACAGTATCAGAGTATTGAGAGCTCGGGGTAAGCATTTACACTATGAGATCTCTTTTACCAGTGGAAAAATATAATAGTAGGTTTTTACCCTTTTAACTGGTACAAAACTGATACCTTTATTCAAGGCATCATGTTTGCAATGATGCCTTGAATAAAGGTGTCAGTTTTGTACCAGTTAAAAGGGTAAAAACCTACTATTATATTTTGCCACTGGTAAAAGAGATCTCATAGAGAACCTATCTTATTATTGATCACTCCGTGCCCTTAAACGTCTCAAAATTCACCCTACAAAGTTCCATCACAAATAGACAAAAAAATTACGTTACTAAACGAAAACGTTTATGTATAAATTTGTATCATTGGTGTTAATGTTGCTACTTATCATGCTTACGGTCTGTGATCTTGCATGCTGATGCTGCTTGCTTGATATATGGATGCACAAACTCATGTAGTACATGTCAAACAATGAACACAGAAAATTGAAAGGTTAAACAACTTTTTTTTTATTTGGCCGTTTGATAAAAATGTTTTGCCTTCATTTAAACGGATATACGCCGTATGGACCTGAAAACTCGGTACAATAATACGGGCAAATTGTATGAGTTGACAGGTATAATGTTTGTTTCCATGTTAACAAGTACTGTGTGTGGTTAATGCAAACTCGATTCCTTGCAAAAGGTGTTTTGAACATCTTAACACAACTCCTGTTTTATTGACAGAAATGTATAACACCCGATTCTTATTTTTAATACTTTGATACTTGCAAATAATGGTCCCATAATAATACAAATTTAAACACATCTGACTACCCGTAGCAACCAGCAGAGTGTACAATTATTCATAACACACACACACGTGTCATTCATCACAGGTGAGCTCACACCGGCTACACTCAGTTACTTATGGCACTGCAAGGGCCCCTTTGCAGCGAAATAAAAAATTAACCCGTAAAAACAAAGTTTTTCACTATAAATCCTTTATATGCGTGGCATCGGTTTTATTTTAGTATTCATTTCTGTTTTTCTTGAGTAAGAGTTTCATTTTTTATCACATTGGTATTTTGAAGTAAATATAAGGAAAGTCGTATATAAGGATTATAAGGTTTTCAGTTTTTGTTTATATTTAACATTTTTGTTGTTTTCTTGAATAATTTTCTGTGTTTAGGAAAAATATATGATTGTGTTAGTGAAATTTTTTTTTCCTAAAAAGTGGAAAATTTTGGAAAAATTTTTTCACGAAAATAAATTGTCACGCACAACGAGTCTGTGTGCAAAATGTCAGCTCGATTGGATCACGGTAAGTGGGTTAAAAAACGACCGAAAGATTTGCACGGTCGTAAGCGCGCAAGCAAGTGAACTTAATATAAAGGATTTAAAAATATAATATTTCATACATGCCAACCCCTTATCAGTGCCCTACCTTATTACAGATCTTGTTGGTCACCCCGTGCCACTTTTCGATCTCAACGTTCATCCTCTCATAAGAGAGAAACACAAACAAATAGACAAAGAATGTTTGCATGTATTGAAACGGCTGTATGCCGTATGAACCTGAAAACTAACTTTCCCTGTAAAAGAATAACAGGGGTAACCCTTATGGGTTGACAGCTATGTTATGTAGTAATGCTGCTGCGTTGGCAGTGGTGCACAAGCACAATTAACAAACAAACAAAAACTCTAAACATTAATCAATAAATTTCGATTTAAAGCTTTCGTGACTGCAAGGATTCATCTTCTTGGTTCTTTCGGTAAAGTCACGTAGAAGGGAAGTAATAAAATAATATAAATAAAACATAATAAAATAATTCTCACGACGTTTCGGCCACAACGCAAGCAGCCGTCCTCAGGTGAAACCAGGTCTGTCGAGGCGATAGCGTCTGAATGAAACAGCACATGTGCTTGGAGCATATATATAAGCTGCGTTGGAAGGGGGGGGAAAGGGACGCCTTGACAAAAAAATTTGCATATCAATAGGAATTTAGCATATTTATGGGAAATGCAGGTATGTGATTAGTACTACTTATGTCCGTGCATTATGCAGGATTAGCAGCATCCAAGGGAGGGGATATGGGAAATGCAGGTATGTGATTAGTACTACTTATGCCCGTGCATTATGCAGGATTAGCAGCATCAAAGGGAGAGGATATGGGAAATGCAGGTATGTGATTAGTACTACTTATGCCCGTGCATTATGCAGGATTAGCAGCATCAAAGGGAGAGGATATGGGAAATGCAGGTATGTGATTAGTACTAATTGTGTCCGTGCATTATGCAGGATTAGCAGCATCATAGGGAGGGGATGGGGTAGCATTAATAAAGGGAAGAAGTGTTAATAGTATATAGCTGCAGTAACTAAAACCACCACGTAAACATCTAAAGCATAAACTACATAGTATCATCATTATACCAAATATACTTTACAATAAGCTGAGCCACTAACAGTAAGTAATACATTACAATTCTACGTCGTAAAAAATATAATATGCTTCCACCTAAACTTTATTCTCTTAAATCACACGAGTCTACACCGTACTATATACTGCCATAGACAAACCCAACATTAAATTATATACTGTACTAGCAGAAGTACCCGGCTTTGCCCGGGTGAAAAGTATATTTCTTAAAAATCTTACATATATATACACAGATACTAAGGTATTGTCAAAGCCCGGTGGGCTGCTTGTACATTTCTCCACCAACAAATATATAAAAGGCTTTCACAAGTCCAAAAAGTTGTAGAAAGTGTGGGGTAAATAGTTGATGTCAAAATGTTTCCGAAAATTGTGGTCTCCCCCCCCCCCCCTCAAAAAATATCTTTACCCCTCGTAGGTATATATACTAACAACACCTTACATACAACAGAGGAAGTGGTATCTATTGACTCTGTAGTAGTATCTACTGACTGTACCGTAGTATCTACTGAGCCAGTAGTAGCTACTGACTGTGTAGTAGTATTTAGTGATTGTAATAACTACTGACCATAGTAGTATTTACTGGGCCTACAGTAGTATCTACCGACTATATACTCGTAACGACTAACTGTATAGTATCTGCTGACTCTATAGTTGTATCCACTGACTATAGTAGTAACTACAAAATCTATAGCAGTATCTACTCACTCTATAATAGTATCTACTGACTCTAGTAGCTACTCACCGTAGCAGTATGTACTGACTGTATAGTAGTATATACTGACTGTAGCAGTATTGACTGACTGTAGTGGTATATACTGACTGTTCTAGTATTTACTATAGCGGTATCTACCAACTCGATAGCAGTATCTACTATCACTACAGCAGTGTATACCGACTGAGGTCGTACCTGCTATGATTACAGCAGTGCATACTGCTGTGTTGGTACCTGCTATGATTACAGCAGTGCATACTGCTGTGTTGGTACCTGCTATGATTACAGCAGTGCATACTGACTGTGTTGGTACCTGCTATGATTACAGCAGTGCATACTGCTGTGGTGGTATCTGCTATGATGAGAGGAGTACATATTGTGGTGGTGGTACCTGGTATGATGACAGCAGTGCATATTGACTGTACTCATCATTCACCCTCACCATTCACCACTCACAACTCACCCTTACCACTCATCCTCACCACTCACCACTCCCACTCACTATTCACCATTTACCCTCACAACTCACCACTCACCAATCTCCCTCACCAATCTCCCTCACCAATCTCCCTCACCACTCACCCTCACCACTAACCCTCACCACTAACCCTCACCACTCTCCCTCACCACTCTCCCTCACCATTCACCCTCACCATTCAGCCTCACCACTCACCCTCACCACTCACCGTCACAACCACCACTCACCATCACCACACAACCTCACCCTCACTACTCACCATTCATCCTCACCAATCACCACTGACCAATCACCACTCACCACTCTCCACTAACCCTCACCACTCAACCTCACCACTCACCCTCAAAACTAACCACTCTCTCACCACTCACCCTCACCACTCAGCACTCAGCACTCACCCTCACCACTCACCCTCACCACTCACGCTCACCACTCACCCCTCACCACTCACCCATCACCACTCACAACCGCCACTCACCCTCACCAATCACCCTCCCCACTCACCCTCACAACAACCACTCACCCTCACCGCTCACCACTCACCCTGACTACTCACCACTCATC